AGAGTTCTTAATTAGTTCTTGGCGAAGAAGTTTATTTTAAAAAAGAACAGTTTAGTCGGTTCGACCAAAATTATTGTGTTAATGTCTGGAGGCTGAATAAATATTTGCAAACTCACACAGGAAAAAAAACAGAATAATTAAAAAGATTATGATCTTAACAGTAAATATTCGTGTTAGTTATGGTAAGGTTTGTACACCTTGCTTTGTGCTGTTCTGTGTTTTTTTGTTTTGTTTTGTTTTTTTGTTTTTTGTTTTTTTACAGAGATTAAGATATCTTCCCACTGTACCAAAAATTAAATTTTCAACAGAAGCACATGTATAAATTGACACAAGATGATAATGTTAACCGACTTTTGAGGGAATATTCGAGAGGTTTGAGGGAAAATTCAAAAATATTAAATTCTTTTGAGGGAATATTCAAAAACATAAATCTTAATATATGTTTTTATCAGTGTCAAAACTATAATCTAAATGCAGATGAAACTTGTTTTGAAGGTGAAACAACGGTTACTAATTCGACTTGGGGAGAGCTTGCTTCTGATCAGTTCTGACCTAAATACTGAGAACGTTATTGCATTTTACATTTACATACAAGGTTTTCTTTGAAAAAAAAAAACAAATTTGGAGGGTCAACAGTTCGGCAGATTGTTCTGAATTAGTTTTAGGGTAACATTTGATATTGCACAGGGCCGTGAACGGTTACCTCAAGGTTTGAACGCATATGCTGTGAAACTTTAAATCTGCGGGGGAAGGCCATTCATAATTAGCAGTGACAGCTGTGTTTGAATGGTTTGCGAAATTTTGTGACTTTTTAGTTTCCTTTACAGCATTAGTACTCTTTGGTGAGCCGAGATAAGACTTAGATCCACAAAAATACGTAATTCTAAAAATAATGTCGCCATAGCATATCAGTGATAAATCTTCGTATTGACCTTCTCTGTACTGTGTTATGATGATCGAACAAAACGTTTGTTCTATTCCCGTTATCTGCAGCTCTTTGAGATTTTTGATTATCGTGGTTCTGTAAAAGGGAATTACAAGAGCAAAACATGGGAAATATCTCGCTTTTTTTCCTTTTATTTGGCTGTATTATCAATGTCCAACTCCTAAAACTAATGAATTGTTTTCTCCAAAACTGTGGAAAAGCGTCTTAGCTAGGTATCTGTCGCTACTTTGATTTCTTTAAAAAAAAAAACCGCTGAAAAGTATTATTTTTATTATGGAATGTTAATGTAATAGCTGATGGACAAAAATATGTCAACTCCGTACCTACATGTATTACCTAAATAAGTTATAGTTGGCTACTGCATGTCAGAGACAACGTTTCGTCTTATTTATTTCCCATCAGTCAGTTAAATTGAATAATTTCGGTTTATCTACCTTGTCTCTTATTCTTCTCAAATGTGAAAAGTTTAGGAGATCCAGTTAAAATATACTTGGAGTTTTATCTTACCGACAATATATATCACCAACTTTTTAACCTTCAAAATGGCAATTCTCCCAGATCATATCACTGTTTATCATATAGCTGTTTCTTCGCGCAGTTTCGAGAATTTCGAACTAAATCAGTCCTAGTTTGTTCTTTCCTTGTACGGAACTGACAACTGCCTAGCAACGCATATTCAGACGAGAAATCAGATACTCCTCACTCCAAGTTCCATGCTCGTCAATATACCTACCTTTTGATCTGATGCTCTCGCGATGAAACAAAAAGAAAAAGAAATTGTATTGTTCAGGCATTACTATAGCGCATAAACGTGGGCCTTCTTAAAGCAGTAGAAGCTTTCAAATTCTCTCCAACTGAAAGACTGATAACATTTTAGGAAGAAAAATAAAATATTACTTTTGTCATCATAGAAGCGTTGTGAACATTTTTCGGGGATGTTAATGCTTTTGGTGGCGGTAAAAGAGCCATAATAACGGGCTCTCCCGATCAGCTTTATATATGTGTAGAATTTCTGCCGGTCAAATTTCTCTCATTATTTTCTCGAACCAATCAAAAACTTTACGGACTCCATAAACCTTCCTATAGCGGCCTAGAATTATCTGACTTGTGTAGAAAGTGACTGTTGTGAGGAGGATTGCGCTGAAATCAAAATAGATGCACTACGAAAATTTACAAAATGAAATCAACATTTGGAGGGTTAGGGCGCCGGATTTGAAATCTGGAGGTCGCGGGTTCAAGTCCCGCTCTGATCACTAAGCTGGAGTTGTTTCTCGGAAGACCCTCGTTCAACTCCTCGGTCATGCTTGTAAATACCCAACTGGTCTGCCTCCCGCCAGTTGGGATTTTTAAGCCTTTTATGTTTATTTTGGAATATTTCTTTCTTTCAGTTTAAGTGGCAACTGTGAGCTACCTAGTTGTAGCTAAGCGCATCGACCACTAAAAACATTCAACATTTAACAATTTGTTTTAAGTTACTTGTTTATTTCGCATTACTTAGGGATGTTTTTAAACGTCTTGAATTTCTTTTGCAAAGTACAGAGCTCGCGTCCCTTCTTTATCATGCGCCAATTTAATTCCACGTGACAGTAAAACCCGGTTAGACATTCTGGAACCGTACAACATTGACGAACTTAAAATTACCATGCGATGGGAAGTCAATCAGACCATAAAACAAAACATTTGGGAAAATATGCTCGCCTCTCCAACATAATGCTGCAATTTAATTCCATGTGTTTGAGACACGCTGGGCATAGTGATGTTAGAATACAAGGAAAAAAGCAAGAGACAAAGAAAACTAGGAAGGCACGTTCGCGAAAACGTGCATTTCAAATCAATCAACAATTTCAACAGAAATTTGTATTTCGCAGGTTATGACCATAGGACAAGCCATGACCGAAATTCCATACAACACAAAAATTCCCCGAGCAAAGGAAGTTGGCTATGCGAAGCATACATGTTGAAAGGTTGCAATTACGTATAGGAAAAAAAACAGACATTTAACGACTGTACCTAAAATTTTACTGTTTTCGCGAAAGGCTGACACCAGTCAAAAATATTAAAACATGAAGAGTTACATCAGGGAAAAAAAACAACAACAACAAAGGGCCGCTACGTACACAATAAAAACATACCCGCAATGTTGGACAGAGAAGTCTTATTAAAAACTGATGACATTTTGAACAGTTAGGTCAACAAAACAGCTGTTTGTGGAAGAAAAACATTGTCCGAAATTACTACTCAAATGGGAATGACGAAAGTTTTTCATCAGTCAATCCGAAGCCCTTCTCTTAAGATCGTAGGCCAGTCCCCATATTTTAGAATACCACAGCAACACTGATAGTCATTAAAAACTCCAAAACGACGAATTTACATACACCTGTGTTCGGAAAGAACCCATACCGAAGCGGAAGTCATAAAAATCGGCATATCACATGCATAAACGGCTTACAGAAAAAATGGAATTCATTACAGCAATTATAAATTTGTTGATGCGTTTTGCAGGGGTATACTTCAGCCACGCTACTCAGTACTTGATAAAGATAGGACTTCGGAAGTATTATGTCGTACAATAATAATTACGTGGGGGTATTGGAACCGCCCACGAAATAACAGGGAATCGCGAAATTTTTGTGTTGTACGAAACGGTATTTTTGATCAACACTACTTCGGTAACACTAATGAAGATCAGTGGTGGACCACTGCGTTTCGCAATTAAAAATCACTGTCGTTAGCTTTAATTACATATTGCTGGCTCTAGAACTATAGAGGAAAGCCAAGACTGGAGCGAAACACGGCTTCTTGTTTTTTCTTTCCAGCCAAAATAAGGCAGCGAAACGAACATCCAACATTGTTTTTACGACAGCTGCAAAAAATAATATATTTCCAATTCGCGCAGACGGGCTCCAACCTGTCAACGCCAAAAAGATCCAAAAGCCTGATAAACTGAATTAATAGCACTTCGCTTTTAGTTTTAAATCGGAAAATGGCAAATTACGCCGGCGATCAAAAACTTCAAAATGACAAAACAGTCTTGAAAGAAAACCACTCTTAAGATCGAGAGGAACAAATGTATTTAAATCGATTCATTTTCGCCCTTGTTCTATCAGTCGTACCAAACAATAACTTTAAAACACTTTTAAATTAGCATTTAAAAACCATCCGACATGTTCGGCCATAAGTAGGCACTTTAACTCAAGCAAGAACCAAAAAACACTGTTAACGATATCTCAAAGGAAAACTATTGTGATTCAGTTGAGCTCTCTGACGGCGTACTTGCATTAGGGATATGGTTTAAAAATAATAAAAACTGTATTCCTTATTCTAATCAGCAATTTATTCGCAATTAATAGCCAGTCCTGCCGTAGTAATATGTTATTATTGGCAGGATTTAAAGCTTTTCGACAGTTTGTCAGTAACTTGCCTTTTTTAGAACTGTGACTTGTCACTGAAAATCAAAACTTCAGAGAAAGAAAAACTCGTATTTTTCGCGAAATCAAGCGTTCGCATGAGTAATAAAAGCCACTCGTACCATTCAACAAAAGAAAAATTATAACCTTGCCTAGATACAGAACAATGCTAGTCACTTATTCAATTGTCATTCTAAGACTATGGAGGAGTGTAATATCGATGTTTTTTTTTTCTCTTCTATTCATTGTGTGTAACTACGAACGGCGAAATGCTTTCGTTGTTTTTCTTGCTCGGAATTTCTTAGAGAAAAAATACCCCGCACAGATTCTGGCGCTGTTTCTTGCCACTGTTACTTTTGATTAAATCGGCTTTTAAAAATTGGTAATAAAATATTTCATTTTCCCAGAATTTTCTCCCAGCGTGTTAGCATGATAGGAGCTTTGTTTTTGAAATTAGAAAAGGACAGTTGAAGCTAAGGGGAAATTGCTCCATTCCTGCGAGACATCCAGTCATCATGTTAGTTGTGTTAACATGACACAATATTTATAAATTTCCGAGAAACTCATTTTACCAGCTAGCGCCCTAATTATCACTTCCTAAATCAGTGGTCAAGAAACAGTGATTGAAAATGTTTTAACTAAGTTACCTTTCGGTCTGTATTGCTTGACATCTTCTGCAGTTAGCTCGTCATCTGTTTCCTCCTCGCAGTATGACTTTCGTGAGCATACCCTTCTTGGTCGTTCATAACTCTCCGCGTGGGATACACTTCCCTTCGAAAGTGTTTGAATTGTCTTCGAGGCCATCCGGTTTTTCTAATACAAATCCACGCTTAACTCGATCGCGGTTTTAAAATTCGCCACTTTTTTTCTCTCTCCCTGTGGAGTGTTAGTTATAAACCCCGCCGCTAAAAGCCTTTAAGAAATACGAATTTCCGGACTGGTTAATAACTGAGATTCGTGCCGTCAGCAGGTGCAAACATCTCCCACCATCCAAGTTTTATGATCAAGGTTAGAAAGTCGCCTTTATGAATAATACAAAATTAAAACAAAGAGGAGTCATTGCAGTTGCTCGAGAACGCCCTGTGATTGGCCAATTTTGACAACGGGCGCAGAGACTTGCCACGCTCATATAAAACCATCAGTAAAGTTTTAATTGATAAATATTCCCATTGTAGCTTTGTAAACATGTCGGTTAAATTATTCAGCATATAATTTCGCCGCGAGCTTAACATGTACAAAACCCATCTCGGACTGACTTGTAAATTTATCATCTACGCCAAGGTTAAAAAGGTGATTTTTGTGAGCAGTTTTGCACCATCAGGCGATACAGCACCCGCCTTTTTGAAGCCATTTATGAAAACAAAAGCGCCCAATTTTGTCTTTATTGTTCGCGAGAGTATAAACGAAACCAAAAAATTCAGTCGTTTGTGAGTTGAAAGAAAAAGCACAAAAGCCAGCTAGTTAAAATTCAACCACAAAATTAATAGGACAGGCCACAGTACAGCTGTCTGCCGCTTAATGACTCGTTTGGTTCCCAAATACATTCAGCGTAACATTGTTGCATGACATTTACGGACCCGTAAAAATTCGGGATCTTTCGATTATTTTAGTCACTTCTACCAGACGGTATTAGTTCTTGACAAATTTTATTTTAATTACATCATAAAGCTGATTCATGTTAGCTTACCTTTGTTCCGCAAATGAACTTAAGCCGCGACAAGAAGAGCTTCGTCCTGACGTAAACGCCATTTGTTTTTCAGTTGTCTCGCGAAATGAGCAATACAGTTCGGTCGCACCAGTGCTAGACGATTGTCTCTGGTTGAGAAGTAGCATGTCAATGTATTTATAATAATTAGATTATTGGTGTGCCATCGTAGACGGTCGTGTACGTAGTAAGCTACAGAAAATCCTCGATGCAGCATAAACGACGGTAACGAAGAGATATTAGGACCGGAGATTAAAAATCACGCTATGAGCTGACGGTTTTGCAAGAGGTTGGAAGCAGCGATGATTTAGACTTCCAGCTGGCAGAGTCCACACAGAAAAAAGGCAGTAACGGCTAACTCTGACTAACTACGTAAATAACTCCTATGAAACCCGGACAGTAACAGAAATAACGTGTTTTCCCATAAAGAGTTATGAATTTTTATATACATACATGTACATTTTTCTAATATCTAGCTCCGTCAGTGCAAAGGTACAGTTTTTTCTCGGTCAAATATCGGCCCAGCAAGGAAATATGGCGTGGGAAAGCAGGCCAGGTAGTTTATCTTGGTAGATATTTCGTGCGGCTAACACTGCACTATAAAGTGGTAATTTGATCCTTAATTTCTCGTAGTCTCTTTAAGTATCAAACTAGTATCACGGAATCATTTCAGTGGCCCATGATAGCTCCAGAAACGTCATTTTCTTGAAGGGAGAACGCTCACTTCCCCAGTGTGAAGATTAAAAATTAATCAATCTCTATTTAATTAAAAGTTGATGTACGTAGAAATTTAACCAAACAGTCTACGATATGCATTCTATCTAGCAAAGGAAAAGGGAAAAGCAATATTTTTTCAGCCACTTTACGTGGATGTCAGATGCCAGCCATTGAGAATTAAGCGCTGAGACGCAATGAATGACCTCCCACGCAAGCGATAGACTCATTATCATACCTTCCCGTCAAAAGAGCTCTTCTCACTTCATGTTCCCTCTCTCGGTAAAATTGCGTCGGTCAGTTGGGTATAAAGAAAAAGGAAAAGTCGAGAAAAGAAATGCTCACAAACAAACAAGTAAATATTTCCAAGAGATTCTCGATTCTGCCTTCGGCATGACCGCCATTTTGAGCCGAGTCACCGTAACTCGAAACTGTGTTCGGAATCGATTATTTTTTCCTTCTTCTGTTTTTTTGTTGTTTTTTTTTTGTTGTTTTTTTTGTTGTTTTTTTTTTTCTTTTCTTTTCTTTTCTTTTGTTAAATACACAGAGCACACTGAAACGTGGCACCCTCGGAAGCTTGGTGGCAATTTTACTTTTTGAAAAAAAAGGTTGTTTGGGTGATGGGAAGCGAAATATTTTACAAGGGATGGGTCTAGTCCTGTTTGGTTACAAAAACACATAAGCAATAAATGCAGGATGTGTTATTTTTTGTTATTTAACTTTATTATTTTCATGCGCAAAGTCTTGCAATATTTACACAGCTTTAAAATACTCAAAGCTAGTGCTTGTTTCTTTACCAAACACTGAAGTGTATGGACTGGCGCATTTTGACTTAACACTCGATAACTAAGAAGACGAAAGTGCTCACCCAGTCGTCTGATTTGAAGAAAAACTCCATTGTTATCTTCTTTGGCAAAAATTTCCTGTGAAGGTACTTTAGTTTGCAGTCGGTCCACCGTAAGGAAAAAAGATGGCGGCTGTACATTTTACCACAATGCCTCGCGAACCTAACACAACCCAAGAGGCACAAAGGAAGCCTTATAGCCTGTACTAAGGATATTAAGTAGCCTTGGTTTGAAGATTTTGTAACGTTTTTATGAACGTTGTTTAGGTTTTCGTGCGCTGAGAACTATGGGTTAATGTACAAGTCGCCATCTTTTTTCCTACGGAGGATTATAACGTTAGGGCTCTAGGCTAGAGGAGTGGTGGTGGTTGGGAGAAGTTTCTTCTTTCACCTTCCCCCTCTCTCCCTCGTCTTCTATATGGCTCCAAATGACATGACTAAAAGCCAGCCTTTTTTCCATTTATTACATAAGCATATGTTTGCGAGAAACCGTTTTCCTCTTGTCCAATATTCAAGAAGTATTTCCAAATCGGAAACATAACAACAATTTTTAAAGTTCGATTAGTTTGCCTGAGCGTGTTATCTTAGAACAACTAAATGAGTCAAAAATCTCCGCAGTGGCATATTAGTACAACTTTGACTAGACCTGCCTTCTCAAATAACTATTTCAGCCCACTCTAGTTATGACTCATTTAAGCCCATGGCTCTATATCAGCCAGTGAAAGTTCAGGCTCTAATGTACATAGTCAAATTATCTCCCATACAGGCACTATTTTTTGTTCGCCGAACGGGTCCCAATTTTAGGAATAAAACAGACACAGTTAGAGCAGTGTACAGTGTGCTACCGTGTTTCGTATTTTCAGGTGATTTTCTTTTCGAGTAGGATGCAACTTTAGGACTAGAAGCACAAACACCCCGTTGTCTTTTCCTCTTTTTTGCGTTTCTTTTCCTTGTCATCGTCCTCGCACCAAGCTAAACAGGGACACAACTCCATTATAAAATTATAGAAAATCTTGTACACCAAAAAACCCACAATAATCAGAACCCAAAAGACGAGGCCAATCGAAAAGATGATGTCAGAAGGACCGCTAACGGCTCCCTTCAAATCAGGAACCTCTACCATGACCCTAAGCTTGGCTATACCCATACATGGAGTCAGGACCATTACCATAAAACCAAGCCCAGCTGGTGCAGCGATAAGGAACCTCAGCGGATAACAGCTCCAGCAGAATGGGTTCCCGATCCAGAAGTACAGCGGAAGGATCCCTGTGTAAAATTGTAGACAGATGAAGAAGGTAAAGAGAATTGCGAGGCACACAGTTGATGGTTACTGCTAAGCTAGTTTAAGTTCAAAACATGATTGTAATATATGCCATGTGTCTTATATTAATAAACAGTTCACTTTTTTGGAATATTTCTACTCCCCCCTGGATGAAATGCTAGTCCATCGCAAGGTTAACCCCAGCATTAAATTCTCTGGTACCCATTTATACACCTGGGTGGAAAGAGGCACTGTGAGAATAACGTGTTTTGCCAAAGACCACAACACAATTTCCCCGGCCAGGGCTCGAGCCCGGACCCCTCGATCCGGAGTAGAGCGCACTAACCATGAGGCCACCGCACCTGCACAAAATGAAAACCTAGCGATATTTTACTAAATATTTTGGCTAAATATTTGATTAGTGTGCATACTGCCCAATTGGCTTACCTTTATAAATAGTTATCAATGCTACTGCGGACACTTTAAGACCAATCCACAGGCTACTTCTCACTAGGGAGAGTTCTGCGGGAATCGAGCTGGCACTTACTGCGCATTCCCAACAGTTTGCTGGCCCAAAGTAATGCACGCTCAGTTCCACGGCCAGGCACGAAACTGGAATGTCGTGAGCAAACGTCTCCAGGCACATGAAAACAGTGTGGATGTGTACAATACTTCGGTAATACTTCGGGGTGTCGAGCGAGTCAACTTCGTGCTCAAACTCAGGTTCTCGGCAGTGCTTGCATAAGTTAGGAAGTAACGTGCATAAGTGTGCAATGTAAAGCCCTGCGCCGATCCCAGCAAAAATTAGGAAAAACCATTGAAGAATCTCTAGTGTTGTCGTATGCTTGTCGAGGTCGGAGATTGTAAAATTCCCTGGATCTCTGCAGTAAATCGTCTTTGTCCCTCCGGGATCAACTTGCGTGCTGTTCATGTTGGAGTCGCTCTCAAGCTCATTACATTTCTTCACGGCATTAAACACGTCGAAAAACATGCCTACGTCCGAGGCTACGTTGTACCCTTGTAAAACACTGTAGACGGTGAACTGAATTATGTATGCAGTCTTCATTGACATTTCACGACAAAATATGGCGCAAATTTTTGAACAACAGCCAATGCAGAATTCACAGAGTCGATCCGCCATCTTGAGTCCCTTGCACTTTGGAACCTGAGAGTTTTGAATAATCTAAGTAATAAAAAATTGAAGAGGAACAAAGATTCGACAAGTAAGTAAACTTCTACATTACAATCACTACGTAATCAATATTTGACATTAATTTCTTCAACTAAATTGGTGGCTAATTACGTTTTTGAATCAAATAAACAATCGATCACAGAGAAAATTAGAATCCAGCACCCACTTCTCAGTGTTGCAAGTTTATAGCCTCCAGTTGCTGATAGTTTGTAATAGAGATGTCCATGTATGTTTCAACAAACCAGTTATGTGTTATTCACTTTCAAGTATCTGCGTTTGTCGCATGATTTAATACCACGAAGAAAAAGGATAGAGTTTATGAATTACATACCTTCGAAAGTTCTGCTTTACAGCTTGAAGGACCAGCAACTTAATTTGTCGTCCGTAAAGAAATCGGCGGGAGCTGCCAAAAGTTTTGGGGAGGAAACAAACCTTTTCAAGAAACAAGAGTTCTGTTTATACAAATGAAAGCGGCGGACTCATGCAACCGTGAACTGAGCTTCGTATTGAACCGATGCGGAGGGAACAAAATATTTGCATACGGTTGACAAAAGAACTGAAATGTGACATAGTTAAAGAATAAAACAGAATTCGCGGAGTCACTGAGAAATGTGTGAAAACGTTTCAGTTCTAACAAAAAAATACGTTATCTCACTGACTAGGCAACAAAAAGTTATCTCTATAGCTTTTGGTTTTACAACAAGACAACTATTACACGTAGATGGTTTGATTACTGAGGTTAATTCTCGTCACAAGTATGGATGATGATTTATTGGAGATCTAAAGAGAAATTATATGTTGATGACAAAAGGGAATCAACTCAGGTTGAAATGATATACTCATTCAAGTAATGCGACGACTCTTTGGCGACTAGTTCATATAAGTGTAAGTTGCGCAGAGAATCACACAGAAGAGGCAGTATTTCGGTGACTTTGAGCGGCGAACTGAACACGCGAGGTATGCTTGAAGTGCGAGGAGCACAAGCCTCTCGCGCGTGTTATTTTCTGTCACGCGCGTGGCTCCAATGTCGCGCTAGGATTAATTGGAATGTTTTCTTTCTCAAATAACCAACGACCTTCAAAAGAGAAAGGATGGAATAAAAAGAAGCGGTGAAGAAACATGAAAATGAAGTGAAAATTCTCAATCTTAAAAGTGTTAAAAGCTCTCAAGAAGCTTTCAAGCGATTGATCAAGACACAGATATGGATACCATTATCGTGGTTATCAGTGGCAAGCCGAAAAACAAATCTTTACATAACCCAGTGTCGCAAAACCAGAAAAATATCAAGTCGTTCAGGAACTCTAATTTCGAGATAATGTACATGCTTTTGAGAGTCAAGGTGTTTAAACAAAGATGATGACAAGATGACAAGATGACAACGTGTTTTATTCAAGATGATGAAAATAAAATACAAGAAAAAGCACATCTTGAAAAGGATAACTAGAGGTGGACCCTACGGCGTTTCCCTAAATATGTAAAAGGATAAAACAGATATAAAATACGTATATTCAATGAAAATATATAAAATAGAATATTAAATAACTATCTACAAAGTATGAATCAGGTCACTGACAAACAATTCAAATCAGGAGTGTCATTTGCCGCACGCCGCAGAAAGCCTTTGTATTACCAATTTTAACTAAAGCGCTTTTTTCGATTGCAACAACTGAAATCGAAATTAAAGAAGTAAAGAGGATCTGTGATGGAAATTATGGCCAAAATCAGAAACTTTGAAGGATGCGGCACATTCTGTCAAGAAGCGGATGTGTCAAACACTACAAACGATGGTGAGAAAAAACAAAGAGAAACCGTAAAGAAAACTGAATCGATTGTGATGAACTGAACACTATGGCGGGAAAGAAATAGAAGGCTGAGATGGACGTGGTACACTGTGGCGGGAAACACATAGAATATTGGGACGGACGCATCGCATAAGGATGAAAAACAAATAGAAACAGTGACAGAAGTGCCACTTTTATACCAGAAAAACATTTAAGGTGATTCCATTGCGCATCCCTACTGCGCACGATTTTCGCATCATTAGCGCGTGCATATGGTCGCCTGCACGTACGCAACCTAAGAGATTTCCCTCAAGCAAAATAAAAGCTCGTTTTCTCTTAAACGAGCATGGTGGCCTATATTTTTTATTGCATAATTTTGGTGTACAAATTATCCGCTTTAAATTAAGAAAAAAAATTTTCGAGAGTAAAAAAAGATAAAGCTAAAAGTGTACAGAAAACCGTTACTCGAGGATTTGAATTATGACCTCGAAAAGAACGATTAGAGGAATGTGTGTTATTATTTTTTTTCCATAAATTATATATTACATTGTTCCACGTGCCCGAGACTTTATACCTATCAAGATTTTTTTAAGTATTGCTTTAATAACTTTTGCTTCCAGCTACCGCAAAATGTAACGTGAACTGATGAAATAACGTGCGTGGTTAGGCATAAATGGGATGTGATGGCCCATCATATCTCGTGATCGAGAATGGTGACCCATGTATTTTATTGTATTTTTCGAAACAGTGCTTGGTAGGGAACGTTCAGGGAAGGTTTCAAAAGTATTGTTCGGCAACTTTTATTTCTGAGGAATCACCATAAGGCAGGGGGTTAACATGATGGCCATATTTTGGCTAGGTATTATGGTTTTAACACAAATATCTACGTTTTGGGCTGCTTTGCGAATTTTCTGGTGATTTTTGGGTATAGCTGTAGGAAAAGTTCAGCGATTTCCATGTTATGCCTACGATCGTCGAGAAAGAATAGCAGTATATCTCAGCGCGCGCAATCACTGTAACGATCAACGATCAACGATCACTGGAAAGCGCTTTCCATTCATCGGTCACAACGATCGCTGAATCCCGGGTTTTTTTTGTTTTGTTTTTTTTGCAATGATCAGATAGTGATCATATGGAAACAAGCGTTTCTGCGACGTAGTTACAATTAACAGAATGTCAGATCTGTAGAGAAGTTTTAGGCCTCTCTTGAGCTTCTCACAAATGGGAGTGTAATTTCAGTTGGTAACTGAACCTTCTCACCAGTATCTATCACAGTCACACCTTCAAATACCTAAATCCTCTATAATTTCAATTGTAGCGTAGCTTCCACACAATTATATTCACCACTGTAAGACTTTGAAAATAATAATTTAATGTATCTTTTACGTAAGTAACATTAATTCGTTGTACACAAACAGTTAAGTATACTTTTACAATAATAAAATGAAGTTTAAATAAGACCACAAAGTTAACGATATATATAGCCGCGCCTTGAAAGCTAAAACATTGTATCGTGGCATAAATATCTTCTACTATTGCTTCAGTTGCTTCTTTTATGCCATTTTAACAACATTTCAGCATAGTAAGTATAACTTTCTTGCGAGCTGGTAGCCAATGATTAGAACCAGTCCCCTTTCTTGCATGCCGCACTCTCAATACAAGCGTTCCACTATGATTGAATCGTGTATAACTTAGATCAATTCGTAAGTAGATCGTTTGCTTCTATTCCCAGACAAGTAGCATGACCAAAACTACAATAGAATTGTTTTCCGCTTGATATCCGTTTCCAGCTGATGAACTAAATCAAAATTAAACATGTATTGAACTTTCACCATAAAATGTGCAATAAATTGCAATCGTCACTTGGAGCACAACCCAACCACGAAAATTTAAGTGTACTATAGTTTGGCAACTAGTTGGCTAAGAACGCATAATCTCTACTACTACTATTAGCCATCGTATTTTGCTCACCGTTTTGTAAAGTCTTCACTGTTGTTGTCGTATTTTTCACCCTCTTTGTTGACAAGACACAATAATACTGTTTAACTTGTTACTATTTCCTTTATAGCCCCTTCAGTATGTTGCGATGGCTTTAGAGCGATTTCTACTCGCGAATGTTTTTCGCAATTGATTTAGTTCTGCATTACTACGCTAATCGATTGGCTTAGAAACAGACTTTTCTATTGGTTCATTGGGAAGTCTCTGTCCTTTATGATTGGCTAGAGTGATTACTTTCGTTTTGTTTTCCCAACCCTTGTTGAAAACCGCTCTATAGTCCTCTGCATTTGTATTTACTTCTATATAAAGAAAATAACTCGCTTTTATTGACATTTGTCGGACCGAGAAATTCTAAGAAAGTATTCACGAATAGATTCATGCATACTCATAAAATCTTCTGTAGCCCAATTCTTACCCTACTTAACTAAGCTACCTTATACTTTAAAACCCTAACAAAAGCAGGCATTGCCCATGTCTAGTGAAAGAAAAATGTTCCTTACAAGATATATTTACAAGAATTTTTAAAAAATAAATAATTAACTAAATTGCTACTGTATATTTTGTTGTATCTTTGCTCAGCATTATAAGTTTATAGACATGAAGGGAACTGAATAAATGCCTCACAACTTATAACTCGTTACAGTACTGTAAAACTCTAATCCACCAATCTAACAAGCGATGGAAGTATCTACTTTTTCTATTTTCTACAGTAGCCAAACTGTTCAAATAAAGAACTAATTAAAATGGCACAGTTTTTCAAAACAAACGCAGCAAATGAGCAAATACTACGGGTTTTTTTACTATTCACTAGCCAATTAGAGTTCTAATTTTATTTTTATTTTGTTTAAATTTTCGTCACTTCGTCAATCTTTTCCTAGCGTCTCTTTTCTCATTTTGATGAGACAAAATCAAATCAACTTAGCGGCAGCGCTCGGTTTCTGACGTTCAATCGCTGTACGCCGTCCTTTCAGCTCTGTATGACACAGGGAGTCACGTGAGATGCCTACTGTCTGCAGGACTTAGGATTTAAGTTTATTCGAGAACTTTTCCGTGTTAAATTTGCAATTCTTCCCATTACAAGCAACGGTCATTTTTTTTCTGCACGTAACTTGTTCTACGGTTCGAAACCAGTTGCTAGGAAACGAAGCTGATAGTCAGTCGATTCTTTCAATTGACCCGCGACTGTACGTATTGTTTGTTTACTTTTCTTGCTTTTTTCCCGGTGTTGGTCTATGTATGTCATAATATCTCCAGCACAGGATGGCATGACGCAAACGTCTCAAAACTAAACAACTTGTACTGCATTGCGTTAATTATTCGAAAAGAACTCACTGAAACGAACATCACGATGGTGCAACTCAAGTTGTCAATTACCACATAGCTTACACGCATTATTCCTATAGCACCCCCTCCCCCCTCCCCTATCAAGTCTTTCTCCCCTGGCCCTCCCCCTCCAAGGAAAAGAAAAAGCAAACGATAAAGCAAAAAATGACGAAAACCAAAATAGTTCGACCGTGTCCTTAACAGCACAAGCATCCTTCTTTTGAGCCGTCGGCTTTCTCCTTCCTCTCACACGGACAGCAAATGGCACAGAGGCATTTACCACAAAAATACCAATAGAGGAACGACAACAAGAAAATAATACCCCAGAAAAACATGCCAAACGTCCAAATGGTCTGCGCTATAGTCCCCATTTCGTCCTTCATCTGAGGCGCCACATCAAACAGGCGATTTATGGCCACTCCCATGGCAGGGGCCAAGGTGAGCACACAGTAAAGGAACCCAGCTGGGAGCACTACGCAGATGCGGAGCGGGTAACAGGCCCAACAGAATGGGTTCCCGATCCAAGCGTACAGCGGCAAGATACCTGTTGATGAGGATGTTGTAAGCGATCTGATTAGTAAAACTTTCTTCCCTTCACAAGCTATCTACGGGCAAAAAGAATGAATGAATGAATTTTATTTAACTGTCTGAGTATTTAGCTTAGGTAGCTAATTGTGGACACTCAAATAATACTATAAGAAAATAAAATTAAACAAAAAAAAAAAAGAAATGAATAGATAAATAAAGAAGAGATAAAAATTTGTACAAATATGTTAAAATTGTTCTGCGGTAAGAATGTCCTAGAGGATGCTCCAGCGTCTACAGCTGAAATTCATAGCTTTTTATTAGTCGCATCGAAGTTCTTGTTCCAGATGATGCAGATGTACCGCCGTCAAATAGAAAGAAATGAAGGAGTGTAAAAATGGCAGTTCGGTAGTTGTCAGTTTGAAGATCTTTGAATGGTGAGCTATATACAGGGCATGTATAGAGATCTTTTAGTGTAGCTGCGCCTACACTGTGGAACATGCTCCCAACAGGCCTGTGCAATATCGAGTCCATTTTAACTTTTAAATCTTCTCTTAAAATATATCTTATTAAGTTAGCTTTTAAGTTAGCCTTTAGTGCTTAAATTCCTTTGTTATTGCTAAATTTAGTTTATGTACACATTTTATATTATATATTTTAATATTGTAATGCGCTTTTGATCATTAAATGTTAAATAGCGTAATAGAAATTATTAAATCATCATTATTATCATGTCGGCTAAAAAATGTTAAGTTGACAATCCGTGATTGTATGTTGATCAAATCGATCAGAGCTGGACTAGTTTACAACAGCTTGAAAATTGCGCGTTTGTTTTTTATCCACAGAGACATGTTCCAACGATTTGAC